AAAAGTGCGCCGTAAATTCAGCTCCTACGCTAATCGAAACTGAACGAAACCAATCTTAGTTTCCAGACACGCCTGATACGATGAACGCTGTGCCGATTTGTAAAAGCTTCGTTAAGTCAGAGAACTGAAAAATCAATGGGTCGCGCTAGCAATTAATGAGCAGGGTATTTGGTAACGATTCAAATTCCGACCGAAGTTTTGTTTGAACCGCCGAAAGATGCGTATTTGGAGCTAAGATTTGCAAGAACTTGACCGAGACTCAATACCATTGAAGAGAAATATGCAATTTTCAAACATACTGCCAGTTCAAAAGAGGTAAAAAAAATAAGTCGATTGATCAAAAATTTGTCAATTTGTCTATACCTTTAGCACTAAATGCACTGCCTACAATACATTTTTATTGGGTAGTTTCAAAACGTCGTGCGGATTTTGAACTTTTTTGTGAGTGCGCTTTATTTCAATCACAAGCATTACCTAAGATATATGCACTATCACAATGAACGATTTGTTGCTTACAAGCAATAAAGGTAGGGGTGCCTTACTTCCAGCAGACAGGCGATGTTGAGCAAGCAGGTTGGGCCTGGACTTCAAAATGCCTATGGGAACCGTATTTTTTGGTGGCAAGGCCACTGCTGAGCAGGAAGTGTTGATGGAATTTGGGAGGAGACTGCTCTGCGTCGTACGAGGGATTCCGTCAAAGTACTCCGCTGAGCTTCGAAGATTTAGAACTGCCTCATCGGAACGTGTGCTCTCGGTTGTCATGAAGCGGACACTTTTTCAAGTGTTCTTTACCTCTTCTTTTGTTGCATCAAATAATGGTTATAGCTTCTTCAGATTTGTAGATTTGACGGCAAATTTCCTCCCAGAAAGTTCCCACAGCGGGGTTCAATTTGGAGGTCAAACGACTGTCCTAGCCACGCTACTGTCGGATGATGTTTCCTACACTGCAACGCACCAATGGCACGACGCTTTGGGTCGCTGCCGCACTAGTAAAGAAAGCCCCTGCGTATAGCGAAGTAAATACGGGTAGGTATTATCTACGGGATTATGCTGACCTCAGTCACACCTGTAAAGTAGCACCGCTAGTTTTCCAATGGACACAACCCTGGACTTTCAAGAGCGACTCACTCACTCAAAGGATACTTCTTTTGAAAAGCTGACGCTCTCAATCGAAATTTTCTCAATGCATAGCGCATACCTCACACAATCGCCTCAACTATTCGAAAAAAGGCAAGATTCAAGCTTAAACTGATGAGGTAATTCTACTCAAATGTGATGTAGGGGTGGGAGGTGGACCGCCAGTGGAGAAAAAAGGAAAAAAATCGTGAAATACACAGGAAATACGAGCCTTTTGCTCTACGTTGCGGAGAAGTTCAAAAGGCCGGCAGGGAGATGAGAGATAATGTGAGCGCGGAGAGCGGTAGAGAAATCCGAGAAGAGAGAGCATAGCAGATCAGCATTGCGACGCAGACAAATATCGAGCGGTGGGCGGAGCGTGTCGCAACAGGTGGAGCGTGTCAAAGTCCTTGGCCCCTAGCGCCTTAGTGACGCATTTCGATGCGGGAACTTGGCGAGTCGCCTGCAGTTGCGTCCCATGCACTTCTAGCCACTTTAAGGGCTTATTAGGTGGGTCTGAGCCCGAACTTTGCCTTTAAGAAAATATTATCGTCGTTTCCGGTCAGGAGATTTGGACCAGTGCAAGGAGGTCCACCTAACGTGAGCACAAGCTTACTCCCTCTCCCCCGTTCATGTTTGACGCGCTGTATTACAATTTTCTATGACGCAGCTTGCTTTTAATTCAGCTGCACAAAGATGGCGTCGAAAAAAATGAGGAAAGTATTAACAGCTCGCCTTTCTCCAAAACGATATTTTTTCACAATAGCCTGCCCCATCAAACTTACTGCTGGAAAAGATCCCGTTCACATCCCTCAACAATTTCGGATCGATCTTGCATTTTCTTCCACTCCTCCAAGCATGCACGTCCAATCAACGTTGGATAATCGTAAACGTACGTAGTGCCATTCGCTCTGAAATTCATGATTGGTAAAACGTTTCACAGGTCCAGACAAATGAGTAAGGCAGAAATACCTTGTCAACGATCGCTTCTTCTCAATTTTCTTGATCTTATCATGTGTCTCTAGCTTATTCCCATAAAGCAGATGAGATAGCTTCCGAGGAAATATTGAACCCTAAAACATGCCAATTGTAGTCAGTAAGTCTCACTTAATTTCTTACTGTATGCAAGCATCGTTAATCAAACCAATAAGTACAGAGCCATGCATGCGAGCGTAAAAAAAAACAAGATAATGTCGCAGAAGGATGTTTTTTAGGGTTTGTGAGGTTACCCAACCTATGTGGATTGTGCCGAGCCCAGCGCTGCGATTTCAGGAGCGTTGCTTACAAGGAAAGGCCTTCACGCCGCTAAGGCCATTCAATTAAGATGTCAATCCCTATATGCGCTTTTAATGCTGATTTTGAATATGCCTTCCAAAACAGCTAAACGATTTTGTGAACGGATTTCTGAAGCAGCAAAGCGCAGAAGTAATTGTGCAGATTCTTGGGCAAGTGCTCATGGGATCGGTCCCTTTGTGCGTTTACTCCATTGCATTTGCGCGTAATATCTTTAAAAAATACTTTGAGAAACGAAGCTCGCCTCTAATTGTAAGTACGTGTAAAATGAGCATATGATTAAAGGCGAACTTCGGTATAAAAATAGGTGTGGAAGAGCGCTGACAGATGAAGCTGCAGGTGGACAGTGGTCTGGAAATGATGAAAAAAGCAAGAAGAATCCCCCAATTACGCCTCGAATACGAATCCACTCTTTCAGCCGCACTCTACTTTGAGATAGAGAAGGGGCATTTTGGACGAGTTTCACGAAATCAGCTTCAGTTGCTCCAGTGCCGATGACACCGGACCGCAAAGGGACCGCTGTCGCAACTGCGCCCGTGCTTTTCAAGCAGTGTCACGTGGAACCCGACAGTAGGAGGCGGGGCTTGCGAACGAAGAGTGAATCTGCGGAAGAGCAAGCTTCTGCGCCTTGTCGCGCACTTCAAAATCGTAAAAGGAACGCAACATCAACAACGCTTGTTCGCCTCTCTACTATGCTCGAGAATGGAACAGGCAAGTTTGCCTAATCCCGGAGCGTGCCTTTAAGTCTGGGCCATCTCGCACTGGTCTGGCAATATCTTATTTTATTGTAGCGAATTTTGCACTTATATAGTTTAATGCCCTAACTTTACCTTCTGTTCATCGTAGATTCCGAATTCAAGGAGTGACACCAGTTTCGTCCAAAAACTTGACCCGACGCTTCCAAAGTTGCCGCACACCTTCATTCTCTGGTAGTTTGGTGTAGACGATCTCTACCTGAGTTATATTAAGTTTTAGTCCTTACAATGAGGCACTCTCCATGTACTCGCAAGTTGTTGAACGCTTGTTTTTGTGCATTGCACACTGATGAGAAAATAAATAAGACTTGCCATAACAAACAAGATTTTTGTATGAACGAAACTCACTCAAGACATATGTTTATGAAAGTCGAATAACTTTCATTCATCACAAGACAGTTTTAGAACGTGGAGTATAAACGAACATGCTTCTAAGGATGGAATCTGTAGGGGCAGTCCTGACCACGCTTACACTGGATTGCCTGTTAATAGTTCGACCGTATAGATTCGAACACCATCCGCGGAGCGGGCCTGAGCGATGAAAAGTTTCCTTGAATAAAGTAATGAGAGTGACGTATGCCGTTACAAGCTTTATTCGTACTGATTTGATCACAACCGACCCTAAGGCGGTAAAAATGAGCGGAATTGTCGTATTTGGGAGAGTTTATAGCCAACCTTGCAATTATATTCATTAAAGGAATCTTCCACGGACCATGGACCAGTGGGCGGGACCGGAAGTGGTTTTGCGACGAAATGCATGGTAGGTACGGATCCACGTTCATGGGAAGGTTTGAAGTGAATCCTGTTCACGTTCGTGCGTTCGACACGTGGATCCGTACCTACCATGCATTTCGTCACAAAAACTTCCGGTCCCGCCCACTGGTCCATGGTCCGTGGAAGATTCCTTTAATACACTGTAGACGCTCAGCATGTGTTATTATACCACCAATGATTATCTGTTAGAGCTTAGAAATGAAGCGAGTAGCCACGATATCGCCTCTGTTCATGTCGACGCAGGACTCAGCACCACCTAGAGATCCTACCTGGCTGCGTTTAATGACAGCAAGGGTGTGTCAGACTTCGGGATTCCAGCTAGCGAACGAGATGCGAGTAATACACCAGCGGTTGAAACAATGCACCAGCGTTTCGCACTATGCACCAGCGACGCGACAGTGTGAAGTTAAGAGAGTCACCTCGTTTGAGTTCGTTTACCCTCGCAACTTTCCCGGGCTTGCAAGTGGATGAGAGCGCGAGAGGGCATGAAAGCATAAAAGGTGAGAGCCAAATTGCACATAAGGGGGACCCTGGGTTTTTTCTAACACAGCTGAGTGGCGAGAACATCGTTCGAAGCGCTGACCCATAGTCCGTACCCCGCAATTAGCTGGATTTGCGTCTGACACCAGCCTAAGACTGAGAATGTTTCTGCCGTGGTCCAACGGGGGCACAATGAGCCATAGCGAATTTCGTCCAACAACAAATGGTGGATGCATGCACTGTTAAAGCAACAGTCCCAGCAGGGTTTTTACCTTCGACACTAATGGTGTGGAACGATGCGCTAGCCCTAGTCAAGAACATAAAAAGTGTGACTGAACAAAAAACTCACCTTGGAAAGCCGCTAGAAAGGGAGCTGAACGGCTTCGAAGTGGGCGTGGTTGAATCGGCAATCCCCTCGGCCGATTCAACCACGCCCACTTCGAAGCCGTTCAGCTCCCTTTCTAGCGGCTTTCCAAGGTGAGTTTTTTGTTCAGTCACACTTCTTATGTTCTTGACTAGGGCTAGCGCATCGTTCCACACCATTAGTGTCGAAGGTAAAAACCCTGCTGGGACTGTTGCTTTAAATGATGTTTTACGGTAACTTGAATTCAAATAATGGAGCATTTGGAAATGTGGTGGTATAACCTGATAGTTTAATAGGAACACAGAGAAATTGGTCTTGTTATGTCAGAAAATAAAAACCTCTGTGACGTGATGTTTATACAAGACACTTCGTTGTTCTTTGATAGCTTCCCGAAAGACGACATCCAAATCGTCCTGATGTTCGCACACAAATGAGGACGGCATCTTCGGGAACGTCACATATATAAGAACATGGTTCGATACGTATATGTTTCTGAACAGAGAACATTAGCCAAAAATAGCAGATAAAATGTTACCCAGGTTTCCAGCTGACTATGCAAATTATGAGTCCTACTTTCAGCAGCTGCAACCAAACCACTCATGTTAAAAAACCAAATTCAACAAAAAAATAATAGCATTCTAGGTTCAGAGAAGCTATAGGAATCGAAAGTACTTCAACTGACCCCTTCTCACATTATGATAGCGCTGCTAATCATCCTCGCCACATAAGGCCGATGTCAGACTTTGCGAATCGCGCGATTCGCTAGCGTCTGCGGTCGCGTCGCGGCCAGTGAATCACTCAATTGGCTGGTACCGCAACGCGACCGCGGACGCTAGCGAATCGCGCGAATCGCTAGTAGCGAATCGCGCGATTCGCAAAGTCTGACATCGGCCTAATGTAGGTTCGTGTACGAACTCTACATTACAAAGGCCCAAAACGCAATCCTTTGAGCTCTCTTGACTCAGCACGGCTTCTTACAAAACCTACTTCTTGAATTTTCTCATAGTGACATTGATAGCTCCACAAGCACTGTCGAGTTGGGCTGAGACAGCATCCCCAATTACGTCAAAACTGAAAAAAAAACGTTACAAAGGTAGACGCTCCATCTTCAGTAGACAAGTGTTGTACCCTTCATCCACATTTCTTATTGGGATTTCAAGCAGTTCCCGGACGAACAATCGCGAGAAACGTTTGTCGGGATCATCGTATTTGAAAACATTCAGGTTAGAAAGGCGATCCGATACAAGTCGAGCTTCAGAAGGTATACGCCATAACTCAAGTCGTTCTGCACCTAGTAGATCCACCTGAAAGATCAGTGCTTCATGCGTAAATGTTTGGACGTTGTTTGTAGCATTACAATTTGCCATCGACTTACAAAGCATAATATTCGGGTCTGTTTCTCTCTTGCATTACTGCACTCATCTGAAGCACACCTTGGACTAAAACACTCAGGACGACTTACGAAGCAAGGTGGGTTGGCCGAACTAGCCGGTTGGAATGTGATGTGTATCGCATAGTGTTTCCTCGAACGCTAACTACAAAGTTGTCCTTGGAATCAGGGCTTTTCTTTAGTGCTATTTTCTGAGCGCTATCATGAGAAATTTCGTCCACTGATCCTCTTGAATGGCCGAAAGACGGTGAGTTCAAGTGCGATGTGACAGTAGGAGTGTGTGGTATAGTGCGGACTTAAAGGTAATGACAGATGAAATGAGTGGGAAGTACCATAATTTTGCCACATAGAGGGGGGGGAGGGCACATCAAACCAAATGCTCCCAACTTAATATTGAAGCGCAAGTTCCATTCTACGAAGAAAAATCCTCACGGTGCCTTGTACGTGGGCGGAATCAGGGAATTCCGCCCCGGAAACATGGGCACTCAATGGGGTCTTCAACGGATCGTGTGTACTATAACGGCGCTTTCTCAGAAGCGGGGGTTTAGGCATTTGGTCCAGAGCTAACTTCTCTCGAAAAATATCCAACACTTAAACGTTGAAGAAATTATTCAAGAGCTCCAAGCTGGAGCGAACAGATCTTCCTTACCCTGACGCCGATCGCAGAGACGAACATTCTGAGAAAACTCGGATTAAGGCCGATGTCAGACTTTGCGAATCGCGCGATTCGCTAGCGTCCGCGGTCGCGTTGCGGTACCAGCCAATTGAGTGATTCACTGGCCGCGACGCGACCGCAACGAGCTGCAGCGAATCGCACAAGCGACTGGCAAAGTCTGACCCGCTCTGAAGAAGAGCGTACTACTGAGAGAACCTGATTAATGAACTAATCAACGAAGACATAACTCTTTAATCGAAAAAAAAAAAAGGCAAAAGAGTGACATGAAACATACGTCTTTGTTTGACACCCGTTTCACAGAATCGTTCAAACGAATAACTGCATCCTTATTTGTAATTGCAGAGAGTCTCCGACCTACACAACTGCCCAACATTTTGACGACCAATAAGCCATTCAGTGTTATCTTTCGGCGATGCTTAGTTGATTTTCTTTGTTATAGATAAAAAGATTAGAAGCATTCGTCATGATGAAGTAGATATGGCATTTTCGCTTCAACATGGAAGTAGGAGCGATGAGTGAACCGCCATTGATGAAAAAAAGGAGAAGTCGAAAACCCAGAGAATACAGGTAACCCTGTTCTATGCTGTGAAGGAGCCCGAGAGGCAAACAGCGACACAGGAGATAACGGGCGCCGACGCGAAAGAAGACAAGAGAGCATGACAGGAAACGATGCGACAAAGATGAGTAATACAGCCACGGTGGGCGGAGCGACCAAAAGTCGGGTGGACTAACCAGTTAGCGCCTAGTAGCTTCCTAGTTTCTAGGGAATCTTCTACCACAATGACACCCCATATGGAATCGTCTACGGCCTGTGTCCCTTTCAGATGTCACTGACCTAGTGTGGCATGCCTTCAATGAGGTCAGTTGTGCAAAGATGTGGCCGGCTATTACGATAAGTCATAACATGACATGCTTTTCACACCACATTACTCTAATTGATATAAATATGAAATAAGTTGGGTTTGTGAAATACAAGCGCTAGCGTGTGATAAAGAGAACCAGAGGCAAGAACAACGAAGGGAATAAAAATGAAGATTTTTCGGTCATCCACCAAAACCACATTCTCTTCGAAGTGATACACTACACTTGGTAATAAGTTACAGGTTTCGCTGAGTGAATATCGCAGCTGGTAGATGACTAGTATGGCCCAGGGTCAGTCCTATCGTTGTTACTTTTTCAAAAATTTTTACGACCCCCCTCCCCCAAGGTGGACTTGGTACGACCCCCTTTTCGACCCTCGACCACCATATTCCTCTCTATAGTATTTAATTCTGGTACCACTCAACCCACCAAACTCCGCCCACTTTTTCCTCCAAAAATGCCGTCGAGCGGGGGGGGGGGTATACGCGCGCTGAAACGGCGAATTTTTCTCCCATGCGCTCCCAACTCACCTAGCCTACTACTCGTGAAAACTCCACTTTCACCACAAACTCACATGTACTTTCACGCGACTGAAGCGGATACGCCCCCCCCCCTCCTCCTATAAACTCAACCAGGTACGACCCCCCCCGTTGTTACTAGTAACAACGTAGGATTGACCCTGGTATGGGACTCGTGGATTCCTAAAGAAAATCTTTCAGCATCGCATGGGACACTTGAAGGAGTGTCGAAAGAGTTCGGTGGAGGCTAATCGCAATAGTGACAATTCGACCGCACTGGACGCGTGATATATGTGTAAGAGGATGTTGTTGTGCCGAGTTCAAAAGTTGCAAAAAAAAGGCGTAAAGCGCGAATGTTAAGCTGTATCTGTAAGCAGCCGCCCCTGTAAGGCTGTTCGCTGCTGGCAGCACTAGATTGTATGCCTTGACTCCCGCGTCGTGAGCGATATTCTTTTGCGCGCTCCAATCGCTTGACATAATTCGAGGTTTTATATTGTAAGATGAGAAACAGGGACAACAAAATGGTTGCTCATTTCCGTGAGGTGACTTATCAATAAGCACTCCACGTAAAATTTTAACTACAACTCATTAAAAAGCTGTGACGTCAAACCAGCGCCAGAGGCTTTGGGTGAAAAATGAATGCGCCTGTGCATCATGCCTTCTTTTGCCAACTTTGAAGGCACTTCCACTGTCATATGTAGAAAGTTCACGTAGCCTTTCAGTGTCTACATTTGTAATCAACATTTCATAATAACGATATACCTATATCTCTCTTCAACGACCAAGGAGAATTTCAAAAAGGCACTTTCTCTTCAAGAACGAGGACGTCAGCAGATATGAGGCATTAGCATACATTATACGAAGTTATACGACACTTCAAAAAAGGGAAACTGTTTGTAAACCCATAATTACTCATATAGCAGTATTCTATGAAGGCTACACTATATAATCAAGAACGAAACACGCCCTTCTCCGCTCAAGTCAACACACGGGATGTGAAAAAGTGGAGTCACTGAGGGAAAAACTTTAAATGATCGACAAACTGCTGGTGATGGTAAAGCGATGTCCAGAGCTATAAGAGCAGAAAAGGACCGAGGATCCGAGCAATATCAAAATAACTTCTCCCATCATATGTTTGGTTATGGGGCGGAAGTGGTGTATAACTGGCAAGCGGCAACGAGCTCACCACGCGAGCGGGTCCGGGATCAATTCCTGGGTCGTGAGTCGCCCGGGCCAACCAAGCCTTCCATCCCTCCGGGGTCGGTTAATTGGTACCAGACTTGTCTGGGAGGATAAAAACACTGACTTGAACATCGGCTGGCCCCCGCAAGTCATTGTATAGGCCACATCGCATTCAAACGCCACTACGAATGTACAAATGGAAGTAGAATGCGTGCCGCATCTTAAAGGAATCTTCCACGGAAAAAGCTCCGCCTCCATTACCACAGAAAAACGATACCCTTAGGCCCCTAGCCTCATGAGCATAGCAAAAAGAACGGAACATAAGCGTTAGTTTCGATAATACTAATCCTACACACAAGACAAAATGATCACTCTTTCCGTGGAAGATTCCTTTAAGGTATCGTTTTCTGTGGTAATGAGGGCGGAGCTTTTTCCGTGGAAGATTCCTTTAAGACGAAATTGATCGACGGCAAAAACTCCATCCTTGTTTATTTATGTTTCATTGTCAGAAGCAGGCCAAGATTCAATTCTATTCCTTACCTGCATAAGTGGTTTGTAGGGATTACATATAAGGACGTGAGTTAAAATGTCGACAGCAGTGAGTTTCTGGGCGAGAGAAGCAGAAATGATACTGGAGGCATTCTCTGCTTCAGCGACTAGAAGGTCATCATAATCCGACTGCACGGGAAGTTCCTGTAGAATAAGATTACTATGTTAACTTCAATCTTAAATGAAGTGTGAAATTACCTCCAATTGAGCCTCACGAAAACTGTTCTTCGGCTCCGTATAAGCAGTAAGTTGGATTACATTAACTAACAATGTCACACGAAGTTGTGAGCGAATACCATTCGATTTGATTCCACATTCCGAGAACTTGCTTACTAAAGAGTTGATCTGGAAAAAAATATGAATAGCAGTGGATGAAGCGGTAAATTGGTGCGCCTTTAACGCTTAACAAGGTTCCTTGTGAATTGATGACTTCCTCAGTATACGTCATATGCACACAATTTTGAAGGGCGTAACTTAAAGTAGAAATGCGGTAACTTATGCATCTTATAATTACTTTGTCAGCCAATCTATGAACTACGTAAAAATGTTTAGGTTGTCTAGCAAAATGGAATAAGCTAGAAACACTTCACTGAAGAGAAAGCAACGAATTGCGCAAGGTGCCTGCATTTTGCAGCGATTAGCATTTATTGGTGAGGTGTAAGCAGCCGGCAACTACAAGCATCAGCTTTCTGAAGAAGAAAATGCAGCACATTTCATGACTATGAGGTCACCTTCGAATTTTTCATTTCCGGAACAAGTAGCCGACAGCGAATTTTTCTAATATTACCAAGTGATTCCTACAAATTTAGCTTGTGCTTCTCTTTCGCAGCGAATGTTTCACCTAACGTGCTTTGGAGGTTTCGGATGGGTCAAGTTGAATCTTTGCTTGAAGTCAGAGCGCATTGATGCAAAAAAACCCTGTTCCAAGTTCATTTACGGACTCAGGAGTAGAACGCTGGAATTTTCAAGAGTTTCGGAGTTCCCCTTGGGCTAATACATCTGGTTTGGAAGGAACTTGCAAAGATTTGAGACGAGCAATGTTTCATCAATTTTATCAAAGAGTTCCAACACCGCTGCCACATCTAATTAGCTCAACCATTAGTGTAGGCCATTTAGAGCACAGGGGCACATTCCAAAAATGGAAAAAGGCGGCACTTGAGGAAACTTATTATTGCCAACGTACTAATTGGCCTTAAAGGCATAGTTCGGGGTTTCGGGC